AAGAGTGGAGAGATTTAATATTTACAGTGGGAGAGATGAGATTAAAACCCTCTAGCCTCCTCTCATGACATCTCATGGTGTTTTTTTTTTTTTTAATTTGTTGTATGGTTTTATTTGGAGATCATTCCAAATTAAACTGCTATGTGAAAGTTAGTTCATGCTGGCAGCTGGGCTTTTTCCTAAGAAAACCTCTCTTGAGAATACTTGCCCAAAATGGACACAACATTTGGTATTAATCTCTTCTCCCAGTCTGCATTTAAGTCACATAGTTCCTGCACGGCCTGAGATAGTAGCTTTTAACAAAGATTTATCACTATATGAAAGTTCGAGCTGTGCTGACTGTTACCTGTATCTATGTCGTTTCCTTAAAGAGCTGTCAAAAGATAAGGATACGCATGACTGCAGAGATGCTTTGTTTGAAGATGAAGAGCTGAAATGTAAGTATAAATGATAAAGAGGCAAATAGTAGCAAACTGCACACAGCATAAATCATCTGTGATCATCAGAGCCTTGATTCATGGCTGGTTTATTTAGTCCCTTGCTTCAACAGACAGAGGCTTCAAGAGAAGTACAGCCTCCCATTCTCTGTCTTGCAAACTCACCATCATAACTCATTGTGTACTGGGAGTTATATCAAATAATTAATCGGGGTTTAAAAATAAAAAGAAAAACGATGTGAAGGAAAATGTGACGTGGAGATATATAACAGCCCAAATTAGTCTTTTCTCTAGCTCGTACTTTTGCTACAGAAACAGTTGTGCCAGCACAACTGAAGGAGTGGTGATGGCAATGGGTAGGGAGACCTTAACCCATCACGGCCACTCAAGCAAGTCTCAAGCTGTGAGATTCTGTCTCAGCAAAGCAAGAAAATAAATGACCAAATCGCTGAAATCTGTGAAACATACTGTGGTATGGAACAGAAGGGTGAAGTCATTGAGGGTTTTCTTTCATGTTCTTGCTGACTTCTAAAGCACTTACATTAATTACATCCCGAATCCCTCCCTGCTACACTTTACTGGTGTAAACATAAACAAAGGTAGGCTTGCTGGTCCTGCAGGTATAGATCTCAAAGTGAAAGAGTTAAGGCCTGGGGAGATGCTGCTAGGGATACTGACAGATAGAGCACTGAATGTAGTTGAAAGACTTTAAAAGAAGATTTTAAAAGAACGGGGGACCTAAGCCACAGCAATTTCACTGTATTTGCTAAAGAGCACTTTCCACCAGTGTGTTTGAACTACCGCTTTATTTCATCCCATGATCATCATCTGTTGCTATTTGACCTTTTAATTAATTTCATTTTAGATCTTTAATTTGAACAATGAAGCAAATTTTTTTCATATCTCCAAACCCTAGGAAAGGGTCCCAAAGCCATGAAATGTTCTGTGACTTCATCATTTTGTAATTCGATAATTTTTTCATATAATTCTTCCTTTTACAGATATGCAAATTGAGAAGACCTAGAGAAAGCAGGCAAAGCTTTTTTCCTCTGTGGTGAAGGTTTCACAGCTCAGATATTCTGTGTTCTGTCTGTTAAGGGGATATTAATTTTTTTATTTTATTCTGTAATGGCAATCTTCTTCCATATTGTTGTAATTCAGGAAAAACTGCAATGAAGTTAATAGAACTATTATAGCATAAAAAGTCCTTGGATTCAGGCTCCTGTATATGTGACTAGGTATGGAGGTATTTATTTAAATACCCACTTTTCTGCTTTCTCAAGTTTATGCACTTTCAAAGACCCATTTCATTAAAAATATTTTTAAGGTAAAGCACTTTAGGTCTATGACCATCATGAATTTCACAGCTAGTTCTTGAATAGGCCATCTTCTGGGCTCCCCCCCCCCCGCCCCGAGCTCTGGGTTTACTGCAGAGATTTTGTTTTCCAGCTGTTGAAGACTTTCTTCAATACTTTGATCCTCATAAAAGATAAGGGTGCAACAAGACAAGAAGCTGTACAGACAGGGCATTTTCTGTCCTTACTGTAGATCTTAAAATACCAGATACTCACAGCTAAGTCTGAAATAGATGCTGCAACCCTCTTGGCAACGATGGTTTGGAAATTATTAGATAATCTTTATCTTCTTGTTCTCTTTCTCTGAAAAGTGTTTTGGGGATTTAATTTCCTTGTGATACCGCTGGCACTACTTGGTTACTGCTCATTACTCTTCTGATTTATCATTTGGGAATAATGCAACTCTTCAGACATTCAGGAAGAACAGCTCTTGATTTGGACTGCCTTTTTGTTCATCTTGGGAACAGAAGAAAGAGAACCTTCTCACTTCTAGGACATGAAATGTATGCTCATGTGATTACTTAAGAAATGCTGAGAAAATATGGTCCTGTATACCATTTCTGAAGCTATTGCTTTGTTACATTTTGCTAGGTGCATAGCTTTTTTTTTTTTTTTTGGTCATACACAAATGAAAAATATTTATTACAATACTATTCACAATTATATTTTTTTAATAAAATATGTTTTGGTTTTTTTGTGTTTTTTCCTTCTGTCTTTGACTTGTCAATAAGTGGTGATAGCACTACTTGTGTTTTTTTTCTGGGAAAATCAGGTATCTAAGATATAGGTGTAGAATAGTGTCTACACCCATGTCATCTCTCTAATGGCTCCCACAAAGAAGAGACAGTGGAGATCTGGAATCTCATTGGACTCAGGTTTTATTTTTCAGTTTAAAATAAATGAGTCTGT